TTCTGATCTTGCTTCATCTGGATGATCTGTCTCAGATAATCAGCGTATTCAGAGTCTTTGAGGCGAGAGGTGTAGAACAAGTCCAAAGCAAGACAGGTGCCCTTCCAATTGTTCTGTAAGGAGCTTAGTTACCTCACATCAGGCTGGTAGCATCATTTTCTGAATGATCCTTTAGTACAGGCCAACAAACTGGCTGAAGGGGCTGTCTGCTATTTTTCTCCTGATTTTTGTGTTCTGTAACGTAAGAATTTTGTGCAGCACAATTCAAATGCTTTTTCTCTGTGGAATCCATTTTGGAATGTATTATTGGATACTTACTCCCTTGTCTTAAATGTAAAATTTGTAGGATGAAGTTTACATACGTGGGAGGTGACTGTAAGGGAAGAGTTGGATGAATGATTTGCCTTTCTCTGTCTTTCCGGACACCTTTTCTTCAATATCTGCCGTGTGCTTGTTGCCTTATTTGTACCACAAGACTGTACCATCCTGACAAGATAATTTATTTAATAATTTAAAAAAAAAAATTTTTCCTCCTAGACTTGGTAGTTTGAACCATAGAATGGCCTAATCAACAGGTTGTAAACAGTGCCACCAGGAGAAAGACTCCCTTCTGCAGGGGGTGGAAGCGCTCATCTGCAGATGAGAGTTGCTGCCTAAGGTGGTTTGGGTTTTAGGGGCTCAGATCTAGGATGTTGCAGAAATTGCATGGGTTTTTTGACCCTCAGACTGTTACCCATTGGCTGCTCATCTACGTGGACACCAGTGATACTACTGAGGGAGCCTTTGCATGGGTAAAAGCTGACTACAGCCCAGGGGCTAGGGTGAAGGGCACGGGAGACCCAGTGGTGATCTCCTTGATCCTGCCAGTTAAGGAAAAAGGCTTGATTAAGAGTAAGGAATTCTGCTAACTAGTAATTCAGCTACTTTAAGTGAGCCCTTTGAAAAAGAAAACTTAGGTTACAGATTTGTGTGCCAACTAACGTGATTCAAACGTCCAATTATTTTGCATTCTTAGTAAGTATTATTCCAAGCTCGGTTTCACCTCCTTTCCGTGATTACTTGGATTAAGTCTGTCAGATACTGTAGCAAGGAATAAGTCGGCCTGTCTTTCTTTAATTGACATTTTTTCTCCAAGTTTATTGCTGGGAAGTTTCATAATGATAAGGTTCCTGACAGCATTCATCTTTGTACCACTCCAGAGATTTCTGTCCAGATCCTCCTCCAAGCATAAGAACAATCCATCCCAGTCCTCAGGAAGACATGTTAGTGTTTCAAGAGGCTGGCTTGGCTAAACAGAGAAGTCATGAACAAGCTTCAATGCAGAAAGGCAGTGTAGAGAAGGCGGAAGCAGGGAAGGGTTTTAAAAAGGAATTTATAAAATTTGCCCAGGCACGCAAGGTTATATCGGGAAAGACAAAGCTCAGCTGGAGTCGAGACTTGCAGAGCATGTCAAGGGCAACAAGACATGCTATGGCAGTAGATAAAGGCTGAAGAAGGAAAAATGTGTGACTTGCTGAATGCAGCACGTGATTGAGTGTCAGCAAACACAAATAAGGCAGGGGCACTCAATGCCTTCTTTCCTGAGTCTTTGTTAACAAAGTCTCTCAGTCTTCTGTGCATAGAGACAGGGTTCGAGGAGGAGTACTGCCAGTGGTGGGTGATGGTTGAGTCAGGAATTAACTGAGAATATTTGACCCATAGAAGTCCGTGGGACGAGATAGACTGCATCTGAGGGTGCTGAGAGAGTTGGCTGGTGTCACTGCAAGGTTACTCTCTATCATCTTTGAGAGGTTGTGGAACCTGGGGGGGGGTGTCCCCTGACTGCAGAAGGGCAAACAAAACATCTTCAGGAAAAAAAAATCCACACGAAAACACAGCGAAAAGAGAAACCCCAAAGGACAGTTCCCAATCCAGCAAACTACAGAGCAGTCATCTTCTCTTAAATCCCTGGGAAAATCATGGACAGAGTCCTCGGAACACATTTCTGAACATGCGAGGGGTAAAAAAATCATGCCTGACGAACCCGATTGCCTTTCATAATAAGGCTGGATTTCTGGATGAGGGGAAAGGGGTGAATGTTGTTTGTGCTGACTTTAGCGAGACTTTCAACACTGCCTCCCTCAATATTTTTCTATCCATTTTAGGATAATATGGTTTTGATGGATGGACATCTAGATGAATAAAAAAATTAGTTGGATAATCAGACTCAGAGATAGAGGTTAGCGGGTTCTTCCCTGCCTGCAGGATAAGAAGTGGAATACCAAAGGGGTCTGTCCTGGGGCCTGTCCTGCTTAACTTCTTTATTAAAGACCTGGAAAAGGCAACAGATTCCACTTCCATTGAGTTTTCAGGCAATTCCAAGCTAGAAGGAGGAGTCGATAATCTTAATGGGGACTTGTGGGATGGAAGAGGACAAGGGGACTTGCACAGATGGAAGGAATTGGCCAACAGGAACTTTATGAAATTCAACAAGAAGAAATGCAAAGTCCTGCACCTGGGAAGAAAGAATTGCTCACAACAATACGAGTTGGAGACGGATTTGCTAGGGAGCAGGTTTGCTGAAAAAGGACAGAGGGGTACTGGTATACAGACAGCAAGCTGAACGTGAGCCAGCAGCGTGCCCCAACAATAAAGAAGGTGTCCAGAAGCAGAGCCAGTGGGTCTAGAGAAATTATTCTCCCATTTAGTCAGCACTTGCTGACCACGTCTAGAATACTGTGTCCAGTTTTGTCCCCCAATTCAAGAAAGCCATCAGCTAACTGGAACGCGTTAGGAGAGAGTCACCAGAGTGATCAGAGAGCTGGAGAGGCTGAGAGAGCTGCCTTTAGCCTGGGGAAGAAGGAACACCTCAGAGCAGCCTTCTGGTACCTGTGATAAGATGGCTCAGAAGACAGAGCCAGGCTCTTCACCGGGGTACACAGTGGGAGGACAAGAGGGAGCAGTCCTAAATTGAAACGAGAGAGTTCAGCTCATTATAAGGAGGAACTTTTCCACCATGAAAACGAAGAGGCTGTGTGTTCTGCATTCTCAGAGGTTTTCATGACCTGACTGGAAAAAACCCTGAGCAACGTGGTCTGGCCTTACAGTTGACCCTTCTTTGAGCAGGAGGTTGAAATAAATTATCTTCCAAGATCCCTTCCAACCTGAATTATTTTATTATTCTATGACCCCGAAAGACCTGAAATCCTACTGCAGTTATTTTCTTGTTTCTAAAATCAGTACTATTGTTCTCTTGTTTTTCTTTCTGTGAGTTTATCATGTTGCAAATTTGGAATAGAGCTGCAGTGTATTTCTCCTTCTGAAAGATTTGAAATGCATCCATGTTTCAGTTATTCCTGTAATTTCCAGTTTCATATCCCACATTAATAGGTTCTTTTCCATCCCTTTTGTTGTCTGGTTTCTTGTTTTAATTTATAAGTGTTTAATTGGACTGCTAAAGGAACAAGAACTAAAAACATTGTTAATGGGGGACCAGAAAACAATTCAAAATGTGCTGAGAGCTCAACTTATGTTAACGCTTCCATGAAACTTTAAAAATGGACACAAAACAACACCAAAAAAGATGGACGAGGTAAAGACATCTTGTAATAAACTGTGAAAATACCGCTACTGTCGTAAGGAAATGAGATGAGCAACACTACAAAATGGACTGAAAGACACATGGGGGGGAGATAAATTTACATCATTCAGAGTTGTATATGAAGGTCGATAAGGTAAGATTTGTTCCCAAGTATAGCCGTGCAAAATAATGTAAGTTGGAAGAGTCATTTTGTCTGACCTCCGGCTCCGAGAGGTGCTAGCTTCAGGTTGATCAGGATCTTCTTAGTCAAGTTTTGAGTATGCTCAGGGATGGGCTTTGCACAGCCTTTCTGGGGAATCTGTTCTGGCACTTAACTCCTCTCACGGTGAAGATTTTTTTTATTTTCCTTTGCATCCAGTCAGAACTTCTCTTGCTGTAACTTGTTCCTTTTGCGGCTGATCCTTGCGCAGTGCGACTCTGAGAACAGTCTGACTTGTCTTTTCTGTGATCCCTCTTCAGGTACTGGAAGACAAGACTTTAGATTCCCCCCCGTTCCCTCTTAACCCTTCCTCAGTTTCAACGGATTCTTTTACCTTGGCCTGTCTTGGTACGTCGTCAAGTCCAGCACCTTTTGTGGCCTGTGGCTGGGCTCTGCAGTTCATCAGAAATGTTCCTCGCACAGGGGTGGCACAAGCTGGCTTTGGTGTTACAGACATGGCCTCAGCAGCACCTAATGGAGGAGACCAGCCACCTTCCTTTAGCCTGCTGGCCGTGCTGTTGGGATGAAGCGCAGGAGGCTGTCGGCTCCCGGTGCTGCATCGGTGCTCTGCTGGCCCGTGTTCGCCTTGTCGGCTGCCAGGACCCAACACCCTTCTTGGCCAAGCTGGTTTCTAGCCAGGGAGCGCCAGCCTGTGCTGTTGCATGGGGTTCTTCCAGTTCAGCTGCAAGATTCTGTGTTTGCCTTTGTTGAACTGCTCCAGTTTCCTGTCAGCCCATTGCTGAAAGCTGTTGAAACCCATCTGGGTGGCAGCTCCGCCCGCCAGTGTACTGGTGACGGCTCCCAGTCTAGGCTCATCTGCGTACCTGCTGGGGATTTTTTCGGTCCTGTTGTCCGGCTCGCCAGTCAAGCCATTTACAGTGTTGGTTTGATTCCTGTATTATACCACTTCTGAGTGGCTGGCGCTTAGACGCTGCGCTGCTGACTGCTAATCTTCGAGCCCTACTGCCCAGGCAGTTTGTCGCCCACTTTGTACTCCACCCATTCCATCCATGTTTCACCAGTCTGGCTCTAAAAATACAGTGGGAGACTATGCAAAAACCTTTTTACAGTGGAGGTAGATGACATACACTGTTCTCCGCTCTTTTACTAAACCATTCTTTTTGTTATGGAAAGCTGTCAGGCTAAACTTGCCTGGGTCTGCCTGTGCTGACTGTTTCCAGTCACCTTCTTGTCCTTTGTGTGCCCTGACGTGGCTTCTGCGAGGATTTGTCCCACAGTCTTCCTGCAGGGTGAGCTGAGGCTGAACAGCTTGTAATTCCCCAGATTATCCTTCTTGCCTTTCTGGTGATGTGATGTTTGTCTTTTTTCTAATCATCATGAACCTCATCCAGTCACCGTGGTCTTTCAAAAATGGTCGCAAAGCTGCCTTGCAGTGGCGGTGGCCAGCTTCTCAACATCCTCAGTTGGATCCCGTCCAGTCTGTTGAACTTCTGGATGTTCAGTTTGCTTAGGGGGTGCTTAACTTGACCATGCTGCACCGTGGGTAGTATTCATTCCCTTGTTAGTTTTGATGGGCCCTTTGACTAGTCTAGGATTTGTTCATCTCTGTTCCACAAAAATGACTTGTTTCAGGGTTTTTTTGGAACTTTGGTTGCCTGAGGTCACGTAACATATAGCAGAGGGTTAATTAGAGTCAGATAGTATTTTGATATGTGGGGCAGAAATCCTCTATGTTTTTCACGGTGCCTATTCAATAGAAACTTTGTGATTGAAGTGTTTGAGGAGGAAATTCTCATTCACTTCTAAATATAAAAATTACTTCTTCATAAGAAGTGCAACATACTTGAAAGACTGTAGACACGTAAAAGAAAACCTTAACTTTGCGTTGTGTATATGTTAACTGTTAGCCAAAGTTGTCAAAGGGTAGATAGCAGTGGAACTGAACCCAGTGAAATCAATGCAAAAAAGGATTCAATGTGTAGTTACATTCTGTATGTTTTAAGGTGTGTTTTGTTTCTGACAGATTCTGTCTTCTAAGAGCGATTCCCGTTTGAAGCACTTACTGCAGCGAGCACCTGAGTATTGTCCTGAATCAATGGTAAGGCTTGTTAGGTTTTAATTAAAGAAAACAAAACAACTGATCTTGTATTAACATAGTTTTACTTGCAAAAGAAAGGTTTTAAAATTACTAGTATTTTATTTACTCAATGAGTTTTGAGCTGGTAGGACATGCGTGTGTGTCTTCAAGCTTCTTCTTCCTTATTAGGAGCACTAGAAAAATTCTTATGATGACATTTGATCCTCAAAGTAGGATTTTTTTTTTTTAAAGCCATCATACATTACGCTGCTTGCAATAAGATGGGACTTGACAATTTTGCTAGGTGTCCTGGTTGTGTAAGCTATGAAATACAATGGAAATCTGACCTATGCTGTAAACAGTTGTGCTGAGTGAGTGTCACTCAGATGTTGAGGGCAGCAGCTCAAATTAGATCGTGTATTCCAGCTTGCGTATGGGACAAAGCTGTGAGGTCTTGGTTGAGCTAAGGCACGGAGACTCTGGTGGCTGCTCTGAATGGTTTACGGCCATATCTGACAAACTGAAGTAGTGCTTTTGTTGTATAAGATCATGGTTTCCTAAAAGTTCTCGAGTGTATCACTAAAAAAATGAAGACTGTAATCTGCTCTCTGTCTTAGAGATGATCTCGTCGGGGAAGAGATAAGTACTGTCGTTCAGATCGTAAATTTTGGAGTCATATCTCTTGGCAGCTTGGAATATCTCAACACATTTGCTGTCAGAAAGGTCTGCTTTCTTGGAATTTGTGTTACTTCTGAACAGTATCAATACTGTTTCCAGCTAGCCTAAAACATATACTCAGCTCAAATGGGCGATGTGTAGGAGTAGTAAATCTGAGAATAACTGTCGCAGATGAATGTTTTAAATCATTTGAATAACTTGTTATGGAATCCCAGTTGACTACGCCAGTTTGTCACAGATGGAATATTTTCACACGGTTATGATTTAGCAACAATTTAAAGTTTATTAGTGGTGTGAAGTAGATCAAAAGGTTGAATTTTAACATTTCCTAATCATTAACAGATTTAAGGTTTAACAAGGTAATTTAGTAGAATGTGTTATGAGTAAAAGAGCGACTTAGTTACAGATTTGAGAATGACAAGATTCACGCTAACTTATTACGAAGCATCCTAAAGTAAAGTATGTGTATGTGTGTGCCACAAACACACACAGACAGATAAACATGTATTTCCCTTTTTGAGTTTCGGAGTAAATACTCATAATGCATGGGCATTCCTCAACAGGTCATGGTTGGGTCTTGAGAAGGGCGATTTCTCGCCCCTGACCCGCTGTCAGCAGTACCTGAGAGGTGTCCCAGCTCAGGGGCAGTGCTGGTCACAGCCCATTGCAATCCAGGAGAGCTCAAAGGGTCTCATTCGGGGTCGCTATTTACAGGGTACAAATAATTGACTTCTGTCAGGTACTTTTCCATTTTGGCCCAAGTTGGATGATGTAATGTTCTGGTACTTTCCACCAGTTGCACAGGTCCAGAACTTGCTAGATCTTGGAGTTCTGGTACCTCTCCCGTTGGGCCACAACCCGGGTACAGATGTACCAGGCCTGTTTGTTCCTGTTGGGCTTCAAACCGCAGGGGAAGCAGAAGCCGGGTTCGTTAAGGGGTGCCGTAACGCCCCGGCACGCTGCCCACAACGCGGGTGCAGCTGTACTGGGCTGTCGGGCATTGCTGCTTCCAGTCAGCAGGGGAAGCAAGGGCCACGTATGTCAAGGGGGTGCCTTGATGCCCTGGGGCGCTGCCTTTTGCTGCCCGTGGCTGACTTGCCCTAGGTTGGTATGTGGGCCAGGCAGGGGGGTGTCACATCAAGTACCGAGCGGCCCAGGAGGCAGGGGGAGTCATACCACCGTGAGAGCATTTCATAAGCAACTTTGCAAGAGTATGTTTGTGGATGGCTTCCTCCTGTGTGTCAAGAGAATGGTTTTTTCAGTGTTTTGTTTCTGTGGATCGTCAGCTCAAAGGTCTTGGAAAGTTACAGATCGCTGATGGTGTGGGTAAAACCTGTGTCATGAAAACATATCAAAGTGGTGAATAGCATTGGTTTTGGTACTGGTTTTCTTTTTTATTCCCTGGTAGGGAGAGTAGGATCTATCTGTATAGTAGAGGAGTGCTTTTTTAGAAGACAGGCTTGGAGAGTATCTGAAAGGGGGAAAATTGTTGACACAATGATTTATTTTTTTAAAACTCCCAATTACCATCTTTATGAATGGCAAGTTTACTGCACAGTGTATATCCTAATTTAATATCACTGAACTGGTAATATTTATGAACTTCTGTAAGAGGCATCTAGATATAAGGTGGTTTACAGTTCAACTTAATACTATATTTGCTGTTTTCAAATACCACCTGTCTTGGTTGGAGAGGTGTTCTAGTGACAGTCCACAGATGAGTGGATACGTCATGAATTTGATCAGATGGTCTGTTTTCTGCAGCACTGGTTACAGACACAGTGTTGTCTGTATTGCTTCTGGTCATAGGATAGAAAGGGTATTGCCTGGCATTAGGTAACACAGTAACTGCCAACACAAGAGGCAACTTTATTGTAGAGTCGTAGGATCAGTTAGGTTGGAAAAGACCCTGAAATAAAGGAAGTCAACTGGATCAATGGGGTGGAACTAGTAGAAGTAGCAGCTTTTCACCTTTTTCTTTTGAGCTGACTTTTGACTCTTGTTTAAGTGGGAAACTCCCAGATACGGAGGAGGTCAGTTCTAGATCATTAGATACAGATCCATTGCAACTGTAGGAAGTCAGTAATTCCCATGGTGATGGAATCATTGCAGGACAGTTTGGGTTGCTGTTTCAGTGTGATTGAATTGAACTTATTGGTTTGTTTTAAAGAACGTGTTCAAAACTTTTGCTTAAAGCCCCTTGTGGTGGGTTGACCTTGGCTAGATGCCAGGTGCCCTCCAGAGCCACTTAATTCTGCAGGGGAGAGAAAACAGGACGAAAGGGTCGTGGGTGACGATCAGGACAGGGAGAGATCACTCACCGGTTACCTTCACGGGCAAAACAGATGCAACTTAGGGAAATTAATTTAATGTATTGCCAATCGAAAGGTCAGAGTATGGTAATAAGAAATAAGAACAAATCTAAAAGCACCTTCCTCCCACCCCTGCCTTCTTCCTGGGCTCAACTTTACTCCCAACTTCTCTTCCTCCCTCTGAGCAGCGCAGGTAGATGGGGCATGGGGGTTGTGGTCAGTTCACTGTGCGTTGTCTCTGCCACTCCTTCCTCCTAGCGCTCGTCCACTGCTCCAGCGTGGGGTCCCTCCCACAGGAGACACTTCTCCACAAACTTCTCCAATGTGGGCCCTTCCCAGGGGCTGCAGCTCTTCATGAACTGCTCCAGCGTGGGTCCCTCCCATGGAGTGCAGTCCTTCAGGAACAGACTGCTCCAGCATTGTGCCCCATGGGGTCACAAGTCCTGCCAGCAAACCTGCTCCAGCCTGGGCTGCTCTCCACAGGGCCACAGCTCCTGCCTGAAGGCTGCTCCAGCGTGAGCTCTGTGCAGGCTGCAGCTTCCTTCAGGGCACATCCACCTGCTCCTGTGTGGTCCTCCACGGGCTGCAGGGGGACAGCCTGCCTCACCATGGTCTTCACCACAGGCTGCAGAGGAATCTCTGCTCCAGCACCAGGAGCATGTCCTCCCCCTCAGTCTTCACTGACCTGGGTGTCTGCGGGGCTGTCTCACATATTCTCACTCGTCTCTCCCAGCTGCTGGTGCACAGCAGTTTTTTCCCTTTCTTAAATATCTTATCACAGAGGGCTACTAACATTGCTTATGGGCTCAGCTTTGGCCAGCTGTGGGTCCATCTTGGTGCCAGCTGGAACTGGCTCTGTCAGGCATGGGGGCAGGGTCTGGCATCTTCTCACAGAAGCCGTTCCTGCAGCCACCTCGCTACAAAAACCTTGCCATGTAAACCAAATACACCTCTTAAGACTTGTCGCTCGCTGCCTTACTCTCTGTAGAATTTTCCTCTGATTTCATCCAATTAAGGTTTTCCTAGTGCTAGCTCAAAAAATACTGACTTCAGTAACATTGTACTAAAATAGATGTAATCCTTCAAGGCTTTTCTGTGCTCTTGTCATTTTAAATACTCTACTACAATCACATTGTCTGAGTGTTGTAGGACTCCGGTTGCAGGCTGTTAAACCTCCAGCATGCTGTGTACAGCAGCTCCCATGGCTTCTAATTCTTCAGGCTTCTAACACAGCGCACCCCCTGTAGCTGCGACATGTACCCATTTCTGACAGTTGAACTGAAATTCTTATCTTAGATGGAATTCTTGCTCTGCTGCCTAAACCTCCTTCTTCCAGGGTGTTTGTAACTTTTATTGCGTGGGTAATGGAAGTACCTGGGGCAGATCAGCGTCTGACCTGAGACAGCCCCAGTGTAAAGAATCCCTCATAGGCAGCTTAGCTGGTAGTCTCAGTAATAACAGTAATGAGAGAGAGGGGGACAGCAACCCTTTGGTAAGCGCATCACCTTTTTTTTTTTTTCTGAAAAAAACCCACAAAAAATGATTTACATAATTCTTCTGCTTAATACCATCAGCCGCTTTGGTCATTTAGCAGAACTCCTGCTTAGGACCAGAAGTGCTTTGCAGTTGGGGTGAACCCAACAAATTCCTATTGTAGCATTTCATGTTCGTAAACTTCACTTACACAGCTCTTTCCATGAAGCCACATTTCTCTGGTCTCTGGGGTACCTTAAATCTCTTTCTTTTGTTTTTTGTGGTTATATGTGGTGTTTGGGTTTTTTTTTTAAGCTGGTCGAAAGGAGTGCTAAGGCAATAAACGTCTCCACAGCTCTTGGTCCTAGATAAATCTCTTTCTTTGTCTAAACAGGTGCTAGTTCTCTAAATGGTGGTGGAGAAAGTTGACTAGCTGGTATGTTCCAGGTAATCACAGTATGTTCTGCACCTACAAAAACACTGCTGTTGATTCCATACTCTGTAGATGGCAGCCTTCTTGTCAAAGCAAGTGGAACTCAGCTTATATCACTTCTTCAAAAGATGGTTTAGACAGAAGAATTCTTCCAATAGGATATTTAAAACCCAGAGCAAAAATGCTGAAAATGCTGTTTTGTGTCTGCTAGAAACTCTTATTCTATGTAGACTTACTTTTGCTTAATTGCATTTTACTTTTCAGGGAGAAGTGTGGGGTTGTATAAATTCTTCTTTGCCAGGTAAGAAATACTAGTTTACTGTTGAATTGTGTTGCTTTTTCACCATATGCATTTTTTTGATGTTGTGTCTACCACCTGCACCTATAGATTTCATGATAATTTAGCCTTCGTTATGCTTCCATTATAAACTGTACTTGGTGTCTAGTTTCTTTTATTCTAAACTGTGCTACCTGTGCATTTTAACACATTTTTTTAACACATTTATTTTCTTTTCCTAATTAGAAAGTGTTTAATATGTTTGTATGATTAAACATGTGTCCTTCTGTGGTATCCTGGGCTTGTACCTTGAACTTTGTACCTGCATGAAGCCAGTCACTTTTCATTCTTCTTGTACATTAAGTGGCCTTACTGTTTTCTTCTTTGACGTGAGCCACTTTTAAAGTTCTTTTAAGTATTCTCCAGTGATTCCATGCACTGTAGGATTTGTAAACCAGTGGTGTGTATATAGGACAGCATTATAGGGGAAGCTGTTATTCCCTTTTTGGGAAGTCAGTACAACTGAGTGCCTGTGAGGTGCTGTGCGCTGGTGCATGCAGCATGGGGAGCAAAGGGCAGGAGTTAGAAGTCTCTGCAGTTACGGGCCTACAATTTCGTTGAGGTCACAGAGACGTGGCAGGAAGGCTCCCACAGCAGGAGCGCTGCGGTGGGCAGGTCCAGGGAGGACAGGCCATGAAGGTGAGGGTGGCAGTTGTCCTTCATGTGCGAGTGTGACTGGCATGCCTGGGGCTCTGCCTGGGCGTGGCTGGTGAGAACAGCACGTGGGCGTACGAGTGGCACAGCGTGGGCATATCTACCTGTGGGTGATGTTGTGGGTGTCAGCTGCAGGCTGCCTGATCAGGAAGAAGTAGTAGGTGAGGCCTTCTTCATAGTGCTGGAAGACGTCTCGTGTTCACAGGCCCTGATGCTCATGGACAGCTGTAATCACTTGGGTACCTTCTGAAGAGGCAACATGGGAAGGGACAGGCAATCTGCTTGGAAGAATCCCATGGGATACAGCCCTGGAGAGAAGAAGGGTCCAAGAGAGCTGGTTGATTTTCAGGGATCAACTTATCCAAGCTCCAGTTATGCATGATGGGGTTAGAAAAGCCAGAGCCTGTCTGCAGTTGATGCCGGTGAGATATGTGAAGGACAGCCAGAAAGCTGCCCTGTTTCTACAGCTGCATCAGCAGCGAAGGGAAGACTAGGGAAAACGAGGGCCTGCTGCTGAATAGGGCAGGAAACCTGGTGATGAATGACGTTAAAAAGACCATGGCCCTCTTTGCCTCAGTCATTACTGGTTAAGGTGAGCCTTCAGGAGTGCTAGATCCTTGAGATCAGCGGTGAAGTCCAGAGCAAGGAAGACCTGCACTTGACAGAGGAGGATCAGGTTAGTTTAAGCAAACTGAACACCAGTCTGTGGCATCTGAGGGATACCCTTATGAGCGCTGAGGGAGTTTGCTAACGTTATTGCAAGATCACTCTTGATATTCTTTGAAAGGTCACGGCTAGTGAGAGAGGATGCTGAGGACTGGAAGAAAGCAAATGTCAGTCATGCCTGTAGAAAGGGCAAGGAGGACCTGGGGAGCAACAGGCTGATCAGGCTCACCTCAAATCCTGGGAAGGTAATGGAGCAGATCTTCCTGCGAACCATTTTCAAACACATCAAGGACAAGAAGGTGATTTGTTACAGTCAGCATGGATTTATGAAGGTGAAATCATGCTTAACCAACCTGATGACCCTCTATGATGAGATGACCAGCTTGTTAGATGAGGGGAGAACAGTGGATATTCATAGAATCAGAATAGTTTGGGTTGGAGGGGACCTTTAAAGCCCATCTAGTCCAGCCCCCTGCAGTGAGCAGGGACATCTTTAGCTACATCAGGTTCCTCAGAGCCCCGTCCAACCTGGGCTTGGATGTTTCCAGGGATGGGGCTTCCACCACCTCTCTGGGCAGCCTGTGCCAGTGTTTCACCACCCTCATTGTGAAGAATTTCTTCCTTAGATCTAGTCTGAATCTCCCCGCTTTTAGTTTAAAACCATTGCTCTTTGTCCTATCACAACAGACTCTGCTAAAAAGATTGCCCACTTCTTTCCTGCAGCCCCCTTTCAGCACTGAAGGCTGCTTTAAGGTCTCCCCAGAGCCTTTTCTTCTTCAGCTGAAGAACCCCAACTCTCTCAGTGTGTCCTCACAGGGAGCTGCTCCAGCCCCCAGATCATCTTCGTGGCCTCCTCTGGACCTACTCTAACAGGTCCGTGTCTGTCTTGTCCTTAACCGTCATCTTGGTATTCTGTTAACTTTCTTTTATGGCTCATCCTCACAGAACAGCACTGTAAGTCATGTTTTATTGTCCTTGCCAAAACAGTGTCGCAAGCCTTAAATACGGAAGAGTAGATGTTTTGAAAGAAAATTCTTTTTCTGTGTTTTCTGGAGGCAAGAATCAATAGTTTGTCAGTGTGTGTTGATTAAATCCAGTAGGCCTACAGAACACGTATTATTTTTTGGGACTTCTCTAGGAAATTAAAGTTTCTTTATGACCACACACACACGCTGCTGCTCAGGAAACTCCTTACAGAAGATGCTCAAGGGACCCCCAGCTGGGGAGGCCAGGGAGGAGGGCAAACCCGGCAACCTGTCACTCTCAATGATAACTACACTCTGATTTTAAGCTTTATCATTTACGGTAAGCAGACTGTAGAAGACTTCAGAGACAACATGATTCTGACTTGGGCTTTCTTGCGTCCTTCTTGACACATGCAACTCTTGAACGTGAGAAGCCTAGTTGGTTTTCACTTTCTTCTTTTTCCACCTTCCTTTTTGGTTTTGTCCCATTTCCTCAGAGTCACAGTGATCCAGCATTTCTCAGCTATTTTCAGAACGTAGGATGTTTCTCTCATCACAAAATAAATGTATCAGAGATGGCATTCTAACTTTTTCATGTTTATGCAGCTTTTTACCTCTGACTTCAATACTCTTGTAGAGACTGCAGTAAAGTGTTTATAATAAGGGAGAAAAATGTGTGTATTGTAAGTCATCTCACGAGTGTGAGGTGGCTTCTGGAAACTTTTTGGAGGAGATGTGGGACAAGAGCCTCTGTTGTGCAACTAGATGATCATTTATAGTTCAGGGATCTGTATTGTACTTCTATCAGCTAATTTGGCGAACAATCAGAACTATGAACTCCGGTCAATTAATTGCAAGTGTATTTTCATGTAGAAATGCATGCATTTTAATTACCTTGACTATAAAATTAATTTATAAGTCACTGTATTGAAATTGCAGTTCAATGTTTTTTGAAGGTGTGGCATCCATTTTTTTCTCCACAAGCTTGTCTGCTACTTGTAAGTGTCCTGGGGAGAGGGCCACTTGCCAAGAACACGCTAACAGTGGATGAAGCTTATCAGTGTCCTTACTTTGGCATGTGCTTGTAGCTTGCTTCATCCTTTTAGCACAGTTTAGTTCCAGTGAAAGTATGTCTGAAAACCACAGGCTCTGTCTTGCACAAAATATGGATGCTTCATTATTCAGTGGTGATTCACTGGTGACTATTCCGTGGTGACATTGCCCTTAAAGCTGTCAGCTGGATTTACCATGTGTTTCTCCTGGATGTAGCTCATTATTGCAGCAGAGATTTCTGGCAATCTTGGGGGTTTTTTATTGCACATGGTATTTCTTTTGTTTTTTAGATTCCTTATACCTTTACAACACCGATCCTACTAATAAATATTCTACCAAACATTACTGTTTTGATTGAAAGGAATCTGCATAAAGCTCCACATGTGAAAGTTAAGCAGAAACAACTGCTACGTTATTTTAGACCTAAACCAGAATGTAGTCAGGGGCTGATTTGGCAATTAACGTACGTACGTACATAGTTCAGCATATGTGCGTGACGTCCGTGTAGACATGCATTTGCTTTTGGAATTAGTTTAAAACAATGCACCAAATTCTGAATTTTTGAACATTGATTATAAACTACTGATGTGTGCATGCCAGCCATCTCTTCAACGCTTTCAAAAAGGTGCTCGGTCTCTGAAAAATTCATTCCTTACCCCAGTTATGGAAGTGGAAGGTGAGCTGAATTTGCAGTTGTTTGTGGCCTTCACAGCTGCTTTGAACGAGTTTGAACTGGAGAAGTGAGCCGATACCCTGCCGAGATGTAAGGAGGGTTTGGGCAGTCTGCAAAAAGCCCAGTAAATCGCTGGCCTGCAGCGCTTCCAGAGGGCGTGCGCCGTTCGGGTGGCACGCGGCCACCTCGGGCTGACAGAATGCAGGCGGCAGCCAAAAGCTGTTCTTGCTCTTTGCCGCTCTGCTCCCTCCTCCGCGAGGCCATCCTGGTCTGCAGTTCTTTACTGGTGCTGAGCAGTAAGGTTTCAAATTGCATTTTAATGAATGTGATTAATATTTTAATTTGCTGGGGACAATTTAGCTACAGATTTTGCTTCTTTATAAATTTGCTATTAGTGTGTTTCCTTAATTTGTCCTTCAGAATGTCCCGAAAGACTGGTACTGGTCAGGCTTGCTGTGCCACCTGTGTTTGTAAAGCTGACAGAGTATTTTAAAGCAATTTTGTTCATGATAAATACCTGCTGGCGATTGAAAATAATTGATTGCAATGATTTTTAATGACTTCCCCACCCCGGTATTTTCTTATCATTTGAATTTAAGCTCACCGCTGGCTCTTACGCGTCCCTGGTTTTAAAGCTGGACATCCCATGGGACTTTTCTGAATAGGGATTTCTACTAGGCTTAAGAGCCTTTTTTTTTCTAAATTAAGTATTTACTTCCTACTTTTTATTTCTACATAAAGGATATAATTTGTGCATGTCCTAAAATACTGCTTTATTTTTACAATATAACAAAAATGACTGGGTCATTTGAGCTAAATAGTTCCACCCCCACCCTAAGAAAAAGGAGCGTAACAAATTTGCCACAACTGCATCGGTTAAACCTTCCCTTTAATTATTTCTGTCTTTAACGTTATGTGAGAAATAGTTAGAGGAATGCATTCTTCTTTTGTTTAATTTCTGATGCCTTGAAAACATCAGAAAATCTGTATTTGTGAATAGATGAAGAGGATGAAACAACTTATGGCAGGAATTTGCATTTCTCTGTAACTTTATGGTAAGAAATTAGGATGTTGGGAATAGTGAAATAAATGGAAAAAGAGAGACAGGGACATGGGAAGCTTTTATTGAAGATAATTCTGGATACAAAGCCATGTTATTGGGGGGGATAAACTGCAGAGGAAGTGGTGTGGTTTACCCCAGGTGGGCAGCTCTGCACCGCACAGCCGCTTGCTCACTCCCCCGCCAAGGGCTGGGGGGGCAGCAGAAGGGTGAAAGTGAGAAAACGCGTGGGTTGTGATACAGACAGTTTGTCATTAAAAAATGGAGGAAGAAAAACAACAAAAAGAAAGGGGGGGGAAAAACCAACCCAGAAGCAAGAAAAACAAATGATGCAAAAGAAAACAACTGCTCACCACCAACTGATGGCTGCCCATGCAGCCCGTGCCAGCCCACGCCCCGCCGCTTTGTCGCTGAGCCTGACGCCGTGCGGTCTGGGATATCCCTGTGGCCGGTTGGGGTCCCCTCCCAGCTCCTTGGGCCCCCCCAGCCCGCTCGCTGGTGGGGTGGGGTGAGGAGCAGAACAGGCAGGCCGTGGCTCTGTGAGCATGGCTCGGCAACAGTGGAAACGCGCCCGAGTTAGCAACGCTGGTTTCAGTGTAAATCCAAACCAGCCCCGTACCGGCTACCGTGAAGAAAATGAACTCCATCCCAACCGAAACCAGTGCCGGAAGCTTGAAGAAGAAAGCAGCACATTCAGTGTTGACAGGGTTAGCAGAAAAATATGCTGTTGAACCCAACAAGAGGATGAGTCTGTGGGAGATGAGGTGGTTAATTTTACTGAGGGTTTTTTTCCTGTTGGTTTCTGTTGCCTTGTATTTCAGATTAGATAAACTGAATTATCAAACTCTGGTTCTTCCAGTGAACAAATACAATAGTTTGCATAAAGCATCTTTAAACTCAGTGCATAGAAGGTACTTCATAATTCCCAAGTTGAACATTTGTTAAGGCACAGACATGCCCTTGCTTCAAGTAGGTATGGAACGACATCATAAATTCCAATAAAGTGTAACCTGTAAACAGGGTTCTTGAATGAGAGCAGGATTATCGAATTTGACGATAACTGTCTCATGGAGAGGGAAGGGAAAATGGTGGCAGTTTCTCTTTCTACTGTAATATGTACTGTCATTTTATTTTCAAAGGTGTTTTGAAGAAGTCTGACGGGTGGGTTGGTTTAGGATGCTGTGAGCTAGCTATTGCTGTGGAATGTCGGCAAGCATGTAAACAGGTAAGGCTTTCTGATTGGTTTGCAGTGGTTAATGTCAAGTGGTGCCCTGTTGAATTCGTTTATGTATTACTGTTGATGAACTTCTGGCTTAATGCATTTTTGACATCAAAATTAATTGCAATGACTAGATACTTCCTGGGAAGTACCACTGGTAATAAATGCGAGAACCCCAGTTCCAAAAACCAGACCAAATAATTTACACTTTAAAAGTGAATTTTCAGTAAAAAAAAAGTAAAAGTTCAAGTCTACTGAGATGAAAACCTAGTTTAAAAGAAAAGTGGTGAGTTTTGGGAAGGGGATTTTTTTGGGGTATGTGTTTTCTACTGTGCTGTAGGACGAGGCTGTTTGCTGTGACTTGATGAGCCTGAAGAAGAAATGTTAAGACCTCAGGGTCAGATATGCCTTTTTTGTACATTCTGATGCCACCTTTAATTGCTCGCTAATGAAGATCTGGGTAAGACGAAATCTTACTGTGTTTTAACTTGGACGCCGCAGAAGCTCCAGCGGGAGAGCAGGCGAGCTGGCTGCGGGCCCTTGGCAAAGGCAGGTGCTCGGCTTCCTTCGGCTTTGCAAGCAGCAGGCGTGTGCCTGTTGCTGATGTGCCCTGGTTTGTTACCTCCTAGTAATTTATCAACTGAATGGATAAAGATTCTGAAGCTCTCTTTGGTTACGCTGAACTTAATTTCTTGATGTCTTGGGTTTTTTTTGGTCATAATCCCTACATGGAAGCTGTTGTTCCACAGTACTGCGCAGTGGAAGGCAGTGTGAGGCTGTTTCTGAGCTCGCTTTTTTTACAGTGTAACGGTCAGTGATGCAACATTGTGGTTACAGCCCCAGGTAGATTTTTTTTTATTTTTTTTTTTATTTTTTTTTTTTTGTGCTTCTGCAAAGAGGTTTCCATTCATCAGATGGAAGAAAGTTGGTTTTGGTGTTAGTATATCACTGTTTTCATCAAGTGACAATTTTAAGCATAACACATAAGTTTAGCCATGACCTTTTTATTAAAAATCTGTGAAGCATTTTGTGATTGGGTTTTTTTTTCCCCAAATATATGCTTGTGACCTTAAAAACATAGTCAAAGTCATAAAGCATGAATCATTTATGATCATCCTTATAACTCAGTTGTGGGGCACGGAGGTACTTCATGTTCGCTGTAGTGTCTTGCAAGTTACCTTTGTGATCTTAATCATGCAGCAGCAGCCTGCTGCAAATTGTTGGTATGCCAAAAAAAAAAAAGCTGGTGCCTTCACCCAAAAGCATGTAAACTATTTGACAAGAGATGAGCAGTGAGTACACAAACTGAGTCGTGTGGAAAAGAGATGGGGAGTGAGTAAACATCCTGGGTACTTTTGATGCTCTGAAGAGCAGATACACGTATCTGTTCCCATAGGCATTGCTTAGCAAAGTTTTAAATTTATCCTAGTGTTTGTTTTCCAGACTGGATAAAAACACTTGCATTTTTTGCTGCATCCTATGAAATTCTGTTAATTTAATCTTGTGGTTGTTATCTCGTTTCTCATTATTCTAAGAATCAGATGCTGTATTGCTTCATTGCAGACTCTGCTGTCTCAGAATCTTGGCTAAAGTTTGTACTTTAGCTATTTCATATGATTTTCATTTAAACTAAAGTATAGATTCTTGCCAAACGTTAGGGGTAATGTGAAATATTTGGATTTTAATTTTGATTCTTGAAACTTGAGGGGTTTTTTGGAAGCATTTTAAAGAAGGTAGTATGATAGGTCCAAGGTCATACTTTACCCTGGTTTTTAATTTCCCTGGAGTGTTAGTGTTAATAATAATTTTCTGTTAATAATAATGTTAGTGGTAATAAAAATTTTGAATATCTGTCATATGAAGAAGGAGCGAGAGGTGCTCTGCAGAAGAAACTGATTGGCAGTTTGAAGGGAGAATTTCTGCAACTCAGTTTGACAGTAGGAACTGTAGGACTGTACGTACGAGAGGGAGGAGAGAGGAAAGAGGCACATAAGTGGTAGTGAGCATACAAAATAGGGACATTTTTGTGCTCTTCTATTTCCTACATGTTTTCTGTGTTCAGCTCTGTCTGGTAAAGCTTTCATGAAAACAAAGTTGCTTTGTGTGCTTCTGGTATCAGCTAACTTGGTGCAGAAGTACGAGGTTTTGATTTTTAATTACATGTAGGATTGACAGCCATGATTTCTGGTTTTTTCCTTAAAGCTTTACTTGGATTCGTTAGGTTCTTAAAAGGGGACGTTTAAATAGATCATGAATCCATTGTTGTCACAGTTAATATAAAGGTGGAATCGTCTTTATTTTGCAATGTGATTTTATTTTTTTTCTACTACAAATGGAGAAATTTATCTGTCTTTCAGGCTTCTGCAAAGAATGATGTTTTAAAGGTCTGCAGGAAGGAATATGAGGTATGTGTATATGTGTCTGGATGTATCTTAGTAAAAATCAACTGGTTTATAAATTCTGTAAAAAGTATCCTGTAGAAGAAGGAAAGTCCAGTCTTCTTTATAGTCATGTGTCTGGATATGCTTATTTTCAATCCAAATGTAAATTGCCTCTCTCTACAGTCTTTGTAAAAGTATAATCGTTTGCAGTGAAAAGGTCTTGTCTTTTTTTAGACTTGCATATATCTTAATTTGAATGAAAAAGATTCAAAATGAGGGCCATGGATTCCAAAAACCCTTGTTTTGTACGAGTCCTGATGGAAGTCAGCATTCATTGTGAGCGTTCGTTCCATCAGAAGCATTTCAGCTTCTATAGTGGGAGGGTCAGCTTGAAAGTCACCTAAAGAAATAAACTCAGGAAAGAATAACCTTTTAAGTATCTTATCCTAATGTAAATCACTTCAAATTAATAAATTTTTGTAACATCAGTGAAACTATTAATGCTTGCAGTTGTTTTTACTGTTCTGCTCTTAAAGTTAATCATCAGGATATTTTTCAGAAATCTGCCTTTGCCTGTATTCTACCAAAAAAAGTAATTCTACAATTAGTAGAAATGCCATTCTGTTAGAACTGCTTTTCTTTTGATCTGTTTCTTAATTAAAAGCCAGATTCCTCCTCCTCCCTTTCATCTCATTTCCTTCTGCCCTGAATTAGCTAGTCCTGCATAAACTCTGCTCATAATCAACAGGTCAGGATATCGGACAACTCTCTGTTCTCTTGATTTGGGCAGAAGTGTAGCGGGTTTCCTGTTTTTCCAGGAAACATTAAATTCCTCCCCTCCCCCCCGCTTTGGTCCTTTTATCTAATCAATCTAGAGTGTTTTCCTAGATTCTCCACTGTTGAAGTTACCATAGCTTGTTCTCTTAAAAATGAATTTTCATTTTAAGTAGTTCTGTCTCCTCTCATGCTACGATAAGCTGTGCTGTCAACATCTGTAAGCTTCTGCTCTATTATGCTGGTCTGTTTCCTTCTTTTTTTCTGGATTTCTGCATTGCTGTAGGAGGTTGGCCAATATGGGTTGAAGGAGAGCGGGAGAGGAAAGGTAAGAGATTAAAGAATGACTACGAAATGGTGATAGTCATCTTATTTCCTTTTCCTAGTTCTTCTTTTTCCAGTTTTTATCTGGAATTCTGGAAAGTGGGTCCCTCACTTACTCAAGATTGTTCTTACTGTTATTGTACAGAAAACCTTAACTCTTTCTATCTGCAACACTAAAGAGGAGAGGGCCAAAAATGGTGGAAGAAGGAATCAGTCTTCTGGTTGGTGAAGAAGGAAAGAGAACTTTTTTAATGAGCCTTAGGTGTAGTAGACACAGCTGCTGTGTTAGGGACAGAAAATAACGATCTGACGTGGTAGATCTTTTATTTATTATTATTACAGAATTTTGTATGAGAATGGGTTTTCCTGTGTACCTAGGCTAACAGGCACTCGTGAAAAATGGTACTTGAAATGCTCTCAAGAGACCCATTGGTTGTATAAGAATCAAGGAATTTTTGACTAAGATAGGAAATTCTGGAGGGGACCTGTGGAGCCTTGGTGAACGTGTCCTGCTCCCTCTGTAGTCTGTAAGCAGCTTCTGTGTCTGTGACCAGTACCATGCTTGGCACTCAGCTGGGCTGGCTGGGGGAGAAACAGCACAACGGGGAACGCGGCTAGGTAAGATGGAGAGAGATGGCGTCAGGTCAGAAACAGCCCACATAAATGCAATGTCGTACATACTGTGTTTGCCTTTTGTGTTTAAGAATTCGTACTTGAGTCACTAAAAATGAGGATCCAATTTGAGAATTAGTTTACAGTATAGATCATAGTGCTCATTCATCAGCTCTCAAGTCTGTTATTGAGGTATTGAATATGTAAGTATATGGCATGTAAGTAAAAACTAGCTGAATTAAGAATATCCAAGAATAATTCTCCTTTTGTAAACACTCTCATAGCTTACCGACTTTCATAGCTTACTTAGGTTCTCACGCAGAGATTTCCCAGAGGGTTTTCACAAGCTTCTTACAGTAGTTGACTGAACTGTGCATAGTACTTTTCTGTAATCTTTTGAGATTAGGCAAGCAACTTCATGAGTTACCCGTCAGCTTTACGCTGAGTTAGTGAGCATGAAGAATGAGGTAAGTCTTCGGGGGTAGGGGATAGGGGTCAGAGCAGTGAAAACACCCCAAACTCCAAGCAGGAGGCGTCACAAAGTTTGGAGTTGCTAAGCAGAGTCTCTGCTTGTACAGTAGCAGAATCACTTCAGTATTGATGTGCCAGCTTTTCACAAGATTAATTGAGGATGCTTTTTCTGCTGATTATGTGTTTCTGGATTACTTTTACTGTAAATATTTATGAAGCTTGCGATTCTTCTAATTTGGAGAGTTTACACATTTTAGCAATTAATCATGTTGTAATCAGCTATTTGGTTTTCATCAGTGTATTGAAGATTGCGTGTCCTGTTGAACACGCATTTTTTATTTTCTAGTAGCACTGTGTACAGACATTGAAACATTTGACACAAGTTGCTGAGTATTTTTGAGTATTACTGAAATGTACTTTGTCTTCTTTTGAAAGTTTTTATTCTGGTAGTCCTTTTTCCCGTCTTCTGCTTCTCAGATACTCATTTTGTCATCTTCGTTTTTTCTCTAGTTCTGTGCATCTCAACTCTTATCTTTCACCACTTCTTCCAGCTTTCCACTATCCTGTTCATCTTCCTCTAAAAAGGAGGTAGGTAATAGTCAAAGGAAGAAGAAAGAAGTGGTAACTGTCTGGATTATATGTAGGATTTTCTGTTTGTCCTATTTTTAAAAGTTTTGTGTAAAGTTGAGGTTTGTTTTTGAAAAGACCACATGGAATACATCCTTGGAGGAGTAACTGAAAATAGTTTATAAAGCTTGAAATAAGCTGTAAAGGCTTTATTATTGCGTTTAAAATCACTTTTCTTCTGTGCATGTATGGGTAGCACTAAAATTTCCGTTAGATTGCAGCTCTTGAGTCTCTACATCCTGGCATACTGTGAGTTTACCTCTGCACGTTAAGAACCGCAGTGCTTGTTTCATGTGTGCTGAGACATTCTGAGGTCTCTAGTTAATTGGCCTTACAAGAGCTTTGCTGCAGCTGAGCACTATTAACATGTGCCGGGAGGTCAAAATAGAATTGGAAATGTTGCCAGTTATTTAGCTTCTGCTCTTAAAGCTGTTTTTGGTGTCCCTGGACTGTTTAAAGGTACTTTTGTGCTCTCAGGTTTGAGCACTGTTTAGCTTAATCTGGCTTTGTTTTCTTGCAGTTTTTAAATACAGAAGCTTCAAAAGCAGTGCCTGCAGCTTCAAGTGCTGCAGTAGGGATTCAGAAAAATATTCACTTTTTCACAAGTGTTTTATCGTCTAGGGTCACATCATCCTGCATTGTGCTGAGGTTTTAGTGAATGCTGGCCACTAATTACCCCTTCTGAAAAACGCACTCAGCAGTTTTTAGCTCTTCTCTTGGTTTACTCAGAGACAATAGATTATAACTCAAGGAGCTGTTTAGGACATTGTGTAGGAAAAGGTTCCAAAACAGGTTTCATGAACTCCTGAGGCACATGGCTGTGTGCGGCCCTGGCAGTCCTGCTTCATGGATTCAGGGTGGACTCTGACCATTGTAGCTGATATTGCTGTCATCATATCTGCTGGTGCTTTTTGTCTCTGTCCTCTACGGCTCAAAGAAGGTTGATTGAACACTCAAGGATCTTGCCAAAATTTAAGTTCCCGTGATTTTGTTCTGCCTTCCTGTGCAAGTGTTCTCACTTCTTTACTGGTTTGCCTCGTTAAGGAAAGCCTTGGCCTTACTTGTTGATTACTGCAAGTTTTTAAAATTCTTGACAGATACGCACCATCATTTGAGACTTCAGCTGTCTCCACTTAAAATTAGTGTGTAACCTTCTGGCTTTATCTTCTGTTGATATATTCAAAGATATGACATCAAGGAGAGATTAACAAGATTTTCATTGCAGTTCTCATAGAGTGAAGCATTTTGTTTCCTAGTGTGTTTGTTAACCGTAGGCAATATTTCTAAATGAAGATGGCCTGAATTGAGTAGGATCTATGTTCAAATAGTTAACATGGCTAGGTTGCCCAAGACAACAGTACTAAACTTATTTTTCTGCCAGAGTTAGTAGAATACAGATACCATGATAATTTCTAGGGAGGAAAATAATCTATGATTTTTAACAAAATAATCTTAATTTCTGGTGTGAAAGAACAGCATCGATGTCGCTTGTCATTGAAGACACAAGAGGCAGCCATTTAGAAAAAAATGCACTTATATATTATAAGCCTGCCTTACGATGCAGAAGACTCCTTCCTGTGGCAAAATGCTCCCTCTGTTTGTGTTTGTGTGCGTGCATTTTGGTTTTTGAGCCGTTACCTGCAGCTGATGAGCTCCAAAAAGAGCGAAACCAGTTAGGTCCTGCAGTACTGGCTAAAACCTTGCTTCAAGGAGCTTCTGGTGAGGAAGACTGGGCGATGTTCTCTGCTGGATAAGTTTCAATTGCCTTTGTCTGTTTGTGTAACACCAAGAGGTCTTTGGGACTCTCTCCTTTAAGGCATACACGGTTGTGTTGCCGGTGTCCGCCTGCCACTTTCCATTCTGTCTGCTTATGGCCTCACTGGCTTGAATCACCAGTTTCAGCAATGTTTGGTTTTAAAGAAAGAGAGGCCTAAAGCTGAGATCAATGCACAAGTAAAACAAATCATTATGTTTGTGTCCTATAAATTTCAATATTGCCCTCTCTGTTTACTTAATATTTTATTCACAAGTCGAAAATGGAGTGTCAGGCTCTGTCTGTGTACACAGTATTGCCTTTTTATCCTCATTTTCCCAGATCTTGATGACTTAGTTCTGCCTTTAAAGAGAATATCTTTTTCTGCCTTTTTTTTCGCTTTTTTTTTTTTGGGGGGGGGGGGGTGTTTTCTTTTGGTTTTCCTTGCCTCTATCTCCGTTTTATCTTTTGCTTTGTTTTCTCTGTCTTTCTCTTCTGCCAGTTCACTAGCAGATTCAGAAGGAAGCTTGAGTGGGCAGAAAAGCTGCTGATTTCTTAAACATGAGTGCTGTTTTACTAGAGATGGGCATTAACCCTGTTTTCTGTGATGAAGTTATGGTTAGTAATTCCAATCGGACTGGCTGTCGAACGCTGTTAGCAGCTTTATTTACCAGCAGGTGACTACACGCTGTTTTTTCTTATTAAAGATTCTCCCATGTCTGTGTAGCTGTGCACTCCCCACACGTGTACCTGTGCTTTCTGGAGAACCGAACAGTCACCCAGATCTACCCGGAGAGCAGAGGCAGCACCCTGACGAGCACTGTGTTCTGTGGTGGCTGCAGGCACTACAGTTTCATGAAATACGATGGGTGCCTTTAACAGTTCAGTGCAGCTCAAGTTTTTCCTGTTCCTTCCTGCAACTGCCCTTTCTCCACCTGCCCTTTCTCCACATACATTCCCTCCCATGGCTAGCCGTACAAATATACTTCTGCTTACCTTACTCTGCTTCTGGCATCTGGCAGGTCCTTCTAGAAAATGATATCTGAAAGGTAGATGATATCTGAGTGATTATGCTCTTCTAACTTAGTATTATACATGTTGAAATCACTACTTTAAATCTCTAGAAGATGAGATAGAGGAGTTTTCAGCAGGGTTACTGAGAAAGATCAGGTCATGAGAAGATAGTTAGTGCCAGAGCTGGTGTAAAGGCATAAACAAGACTATACAACTGGGAACAGCGAGAGAAGGTGGAAAACAAGGTGGTGAAAACAAGGTGGAGAAGAGAAGTAAGACCACCTCCTCTTAACAGAAGCACAAGCATTATTACAGTGATTCAGCAGTCTGTGGAACTACAGTTTCAAAGGACAGAAAGAAGATGATTTATTATCTGCTTAGGGCATCCTGCATATATAAAATTGGTGTGTAAAATTGCTGCAAGAAGATAATTTTGTCTCAACTTGAGCCCTTCTTTAGAGGAGGAGCGTTGGTAGACACCATAATCTTCTCAACATTCTTCTGTTTTGTGTGTAGTTATAAACTGCAGTCTGAGCTGATGGGGCCAGTGACACTATTGTCCCTGAACTGATTTTTAATTACTTTTTTATAACATTCAACTTTTAAATAACATGACAATTCTTAGCTGCTTTTCTAGCAGCATTGCATCATGATTCTAAGTGTTGGTTGTGCTAACAGTGTGGTCAAGGACTTAGGGATAACCATGACGGACAGACTTCAGCCTTTTCAGGAGCCTCGAGTGTCCCAGTACATCAGTGCATACAGTTACAGCGGTGCTTTCCGCCTGTCTGGTTTGTGTGCCACCTCCAGTGCTTGACACGGGGCGCGTGCCGTGAAATCTGGTGTCAGCAGCTCTGATGACAGCCAGGTTTGGGTCAGTGATGTTGCGTACGCAGTGCCTGTGTGACACTGTGTGACAGTTGTTCCTTTTGTCACCCATGGAAGGTCCCAAAGAAACCAGGTGGTCACGTTGAAACAGGGTCTCTCTGATAACTGATGTCTGGCGCCCGTAGAGAAGGGCGCGTGGTGCGATGGAAGTGGCATGAGCCGCTAGGCAACAGTATAAAGTGTTCTGTACTCTGTCTCCACGTTCTGTTTCCGTGAGTTCTCTTGTCCATGTTACAGAGATGAATGGGTGACAGGATTTGTTTTGTGGGTAGTAAAGGAAAATCTGAATTGACTCCGATGAAAACTGGCTGCTGGGATGAGGGGTGTTGCTGCCAACTCGTTCTGAGTCCCTGAGCAATGAAGCAGTATCTGTGCTCTTGGGAGAAAAGATCTAAAATTTGGTAGGGGGTATTAGAAGAGGGAAAATAAAATGCCTCAATTGTTACTTTGTGAGGTTTTGGGCGTTGTTTTGTGTAAGGCGGACTTTTGAATTTTTGTGTGAGGTGTTCCCAATAGACCTGTGCTTTTATTCATGACTGCTAAAATTATAAGTAGCTGGTGTTCGTGGAAATCTAACTTACATTTTCAAGTTAGATTTGTGTTCATTCTCTTCGGGTCATTATTTCAGTGCCACATCTGCCATGGTTTACACATGGTTTAAATCAATTTATTTCTGTAAATAGAAGAAGGTGACGCGGCTCACAACAGTATTGGGACTGTCCTCTTTACAATCTTGCATTTGACTCGTAACGTATTTCACTGTCCAAGAGTATATTCTCCAAGAAGATGATATAATTGTGAGACTGTAGAAAACAGGATCGTGGCACTTGATTTAAACGACATAAAGAGTAATTGACTAGTTGGGACTTGTGATTTCAATTACAGCATAAAGTCGTTAATGGTATGATATAAACTGAAACGTCAAGGCTTGAGGCATTTCAAATCTAAGCTAAAATGTGAGTCTTCCACCTTTTGGTGCAGTAAATAATTCTTTTGGCTCATCAGATTTTCATCGGAACTGTCTATTTTTTTAATGCTAATTTTTTTGAATGCTCATTCACACAGAGAGCAAATCTGTGTTCTGAAGTGCTTACTCTTGAATGAACTCAGAAAAGAGGGTGAAGATAGCTATGAAAATGAACAACATCTTTAAAAGAATCATGTTTGTACTTGGGTACTTACAAAACTTTCATAAGGAAAAAAAAAAATCTTAAGAAAGTGGGTTTGTAGAATTCCCAGGTTCTCTAGAGCAATACATGTGCTTAATGAGTAGCACTTCAGTGAAATAAGAAGTTGGGACTCTATAATATTTACTGATTCTGGTGTCAGGATTTAAGGTGTCTCTGAGGGTGAGCAGGTAAGGGAAGGGGTGCAGAAAGTGTGGGTTATATACTGAAGCTGTCTGGTAGAGACAAGGCTGCCTGTTTGTGCTGCTCCTGGGAACAGAGAGATGCTCTGTATTTACCCTTCCCCATTCAGCCTAACCGAAGGCGAGCAAGCTGCCTGAGAGGAAACCCTCAGCATTCAGATGTTGTAGTTACTGGCATTTTTATGAATTAGCCACTGGGAGTTTTGATCACTTTGATATTTGCTTTGCTTTTCTCTGATCCTACCTAGACTGTAGGGGAGGAAATCGGGATTGATAAAAACAGGTTGATTGACTCGGATGATCTCTGAGAAGAAAGCAAGTAGAGAATAGGAACTGAAAACCAAACTCCTGCGCTCTAAACAATCTCTAAGACAAAAAGAAAAATAGAAACATCAAGATGATTCCTAACGTGTTTGTATTTTCTTCACTTTAGAAGTGTAATGCTTCCATCTATTTGCAGCAGTACAAATTTTCACAAAAATACTCCAGAGATTATTGGGGATACCCGTGTCTCTGCAATGCAGTAAATACGAGTAACTAGCATAGGTGAAAGATCTAGTGAACTGCCGAGCTTAAGTTAGGTCTGCGTCTGAGGTCTCTTCCTTTTCTCATGTAGCAGTGGTAGCACATCTGATATTTTGCTGCACTGAAGCAGGATTTTAATCCCACGTTATGCTTGTGGATCAGTATGACGGTGTTTCTGTTTTCTTCTCTAGATGCTGTGTAAAATACAAATTTGTGTAATGATGGGGATAGGGGAAAAGATGGAGATCAGGAACTTTATGAAGATGGGGATTGTGTTTTGTCACTGTGTTATGTATTTGATCACTTCTTATAATCTGGTCTTCTGACAAGTGTGGAGGTCAGGTGTGGAGGGTGTTCAAATTTCTTTTCTTTTTCACCATCTTTGATAACTGGCAACCACATTTTCCAATTCCAACCTCATGACTTCATCTTTTCATGGAGTTCTGGAAAGTTTATATGTGGTATCTATGTTTTTAAGAAGAAATGTGCTTTTTCAGTGTGGGTAAGACTGGTTGTTTTGGGCAACAGTTCAGTAGTCTTGAGAGAGGAGATTCTGCGCCTCTGCTCTGCTCTGGTCAGACCCCCCTGCAGGGCTGCGTCCAGCTCTGGGGGCACCAGCACAAGACAGACACGGACCTGCTCGAGCGGGTCCAGAGGAGGCCACGAAGATGCTGAGGGGCTGGAGCAGCTCCCTGTGAGGACAGGCTGGGAGAGTTGGGGGTGTTCAGCCTGGAGAAGAGAAGGCTCCGGGGGGACCTTGGAGCGGCCTTCAGTGCTGAAAGGGGCTGCAGGAGAGGTGGGG